TATTGGCCATCTTTGACTGCGCACTGCTTCCCGTCGCAGTGCCGCCCGCTATCGCGATCGATTGGAAAAGTTGCGTCCGGCCTTCTTCTTACAGCTCCGACGACCGCCAGTTTCGTACGTGGGCAAAAAAAAAATTTAAAAAACGAGGCCTTTTTATCTTGTGGTTTGAGCAGTTTGAAACGCGCAGCACCCTAAGCCGCATCGCCATTGGCTACCGAGTCATTGTCAGCTGTGTTGGTGGCGGCCATCGGCATTTGGTCCGTCTGCTTTTCTGCGCGTCTACGCATATTTCCGCGATGACAAGCCCGAAAAAGTGCAACGTGAGACCGCAGAAGTTTCGAACGAAGCACAAGTTCAAGGGAAGGCGGCGTAAAGCGCCCCGAACGACAGCGACGAACGAGAACGCGCCTGCGTGTGCTAGGCCTGACGGCGGCATCGACGAGTGCGCGAGCGACAGTGGCTGCGATGAAGGGATTGACGCTGCACTTTCTTCGTCAGTGCTTCGGAAAAGAAGCTCGGCTTCTTCGAAAAAGACAAAAGACGGCGCGATGAGGTTTGTGCAACGACAGTTTTGTGCGACACCCTCTTGCTGACGGCACTTGTGGCAGGTGCGGCATGCCCTGCTTGCAGTATTCAAAAACTTGCCGTTCGGGAGCCGGCAGAAAAGCGCAAGGGACTTTCGTCGCTCCTCGAACTTCATTGCGAAAACAGCGAATGCTCAGCGACTGTTCTTTCGTGCTCCTATACGTCACTGCGTGTTACGGCGGACGGCAGCAGCCGAGTGAGCCAACGGTACGACAGTGGGAGCTCCCGAGATAGTTTCGCTGTAAATGTGAAGGCGGTGGTGGCTGCACGCGCTGTCGGCATTGGGCGTGAGCAATTGTCGAGATTTTGCTTCATTATTGGACTCCCAACGCCAATGCACCACCGAGGATTTTTTTTCGATAGCAAAGAAGGTGCACACCGCTGCCATGGCAGCTGTGAGTGAAAACTTGCGCCGATCCAGAGAGTTGACGAAAGAAGTAGCAGGCGAAACTGATGTGGCTGTTATGTTCGACGGCACTTGGCAGAAGAGGGGCCACAAAAGCCACAACGGGATTGGCGCAGTTATCTCCTTAGATACTGGCCTCTGCTTAGACTTTGAGATCATATCAAATTACTGCCTGACATGCAGTAGGCACAAGGATATGGGCCCAGACAAGGAAGTGTGGCAGGCATTCCATGGCCCAGTCTGTGAAAAAAATGCAGACTGTTCCTCCCATGCCATGGAAACGGAGGCTGCGATGCGCATTTGGCAGAGAACATTGACTTATCACACCCCACTGCATTTCATGACATTCTTGAGTGACGGTGACAGCAAAGCATATAGTGCAGATGCAGAGTCAAAAGTCTATGGTGCTGTCAATATAGAAAAAGAAGACTGCACTAATCATGTGGCCAAGAGACTTGGCACCGCGCTACGAAAGGTGCATGTGCCATTACCACGAGGGCAGAAAATGAAAGAGCCAGCCATTCAGAAGCTCCAAACATACTATCAGATTGCCATAACAAGCAACAGGGGGAGTGTACGGGATATGTACACTGCAGTATGGGCTTCGTACTTCCACTCATGCTCTACTGACAATGCTGGCAGCCACAAGTTTTGCCCTGCAGGAACAGAGTCGTGGTGCAAACATCAACGCGCTGAAGCACTTGGTGAACCTGCACCACGCAACACACCTCTCCTGACAAAAGCACAGGGATTGGCTGTTTTGCCCATTTATAAGCGGCTAACGGATGAGAAGCTCTTTGCTCGATGCATCAAAGGGAAAACCCAGAACGCATCGGAATCTCTGAACAGCAAAATTTGGCTACTTTGCCCCAAGACTAAGTTTGTCTCCCGAACGGTTGCCGAGACTGCCGCAGCTATGGCAATCCTGTGGTTCAACAAGGGTCATGCTACTTTCGAGCACATCCTGGAAGAGCTCAATATACTGCCATCTAGAGATCTAGTTACTTTCAGTGATTCCCGCGATGCAAGGCGCATCAAGAGAATGTCCGAGCGTCTGACAGCAGAAGCAAGGGCCCACCGTCGTCGGGGAGGGAAAAGGGCACGGCTAGAAGAGAGTGCTCGCAAGGACCGTGAGGGCACAACCTATGCTGCAGAACAGTTATAGTAACTTGCAGTGCTTTTCAAAGTTCTGTTGAACATTATGGCCAAAGATTATGCATTTCTAACAACTCTGTGATAAAAAAAAAAAGGTTTCAAGCTTTCAAATGCGTTTTTCTCCTTTTGCAGTTTTGTGTGATCTGTGCTTCTTATGCACGCTAGTTCGTATACTTAGAATTGTCATACATCTATGAAATTTTGCACATAGCATGATGAAGGCCCATAGAGTGCAAGTATCTATTCAGACTGTCAGTGCTGCTTGATTATGTTTTTCAAAAATTACATAACATTCAAAGCCCTTGGCAACTAGAGCCATAGTAAATTTTTCTATTTTATTATTGTGTTTTACCTTTTTACAAACAAAATTTATATAGTTTTTTGCACTCTACAGTTCCAAAGGATCATAGTCAGCTATATCTGCATGCTTTATCTCAAATTTTTATAGGTCAGAATTGTTGCATAACGATGGCCATAGTTTTGCAGTATCTCACCTGCAGAAAGAAAACCAAGCAATCTACATGAAAATAAATGACATATTTGAAAAGAGGAGAAAAAACTCTATTAGCATGACAATTTGTGTTAAATTGAGACTCTTATTAAAGAAAATCATTTTTCGAGTAGCATCTCCCCTTAAGGTATCACGTTGCAACTGCACGTTTCCCTATTCAAGACACTTGCGAATATGCATGCCAAATTTCATTGCTCTAGGTTGACAAACAAAAAAAGTTTTTTTTTTTTTTTTTCAACGCCATCTCACTCCTTAAACGCGCTTGTGGCTCTGTTAACCGCTGCATTTTAGCGTTCGTTTTGCATAAAAAGAACGGATCGTTTTGACCTTCGTGAGCTGATTTGGGTAGCCTATAAAAGGTCAAAAGGTGTGGTGGAGCTGTCAAACGTTTGCTGAGCTTAAAGTGGCTGCAGGCAATACAGAGCCAGACAGAGCTGACGAAATGTTTAGTCATCAAATCTATGTACTATACATCGTTTCCATGCTGGCTATAAAGTGCCATGCATTGCAGCTCTCACAGACACTAACGCCAGGTTTTCCCCTAGCGTCTCATTAGGCAACCCTACGAGCACGTTGAAGAACCCCAGGTGGTCGAAATTTCCGGAGCCCTCAATGCGGCGTCTCTCATAATCATATGGTGGTTTTGGGACGTTAAACCCCACATATCAATCAATCAATCAATCAGGCAACCCTACGATTCGTGAAGCACCTGCTACAGCAGCGCAGGGGCCACTGCATTGCGGTGATGAGTCGAGGCTACGAGTTCGATTCCCGGACCCAGCAGCCACACTTCCGTGGCTTCTCCGCATAACCCTGTCTCACCGACTCCGCGCAGGCTTCCACGGGGGAGGGAAACCAGGATAGCAAATCAAAATCGAGGCTCATCCATTTGCCTTGTCTGATTGACCTATGCGCGATGAGGACCGAGTGGAAGCTACTGAAAAGGATCATGGGCACGCAGTGGGCAAGTCTCCTCCTCTCCCTTATATACTTAACGGACCCCTGACAGCAAAAGCTGCGTGTGCAACGTTTTTACAGTTGTATGTAGTTTTGCGTCTGGTGATGACGAAATTAAATTGTGAATGCTTTTATGTATCGTATAATTAATGCTAGTGCATCATATAATTAATGTTAGCACATCATAGAATTATTGCTAGCATCATTAATTTACAACAATCTAGCATCAGTTTGAAACTCCCGTCTAAATACCATGAGAAGCTAGCGCTCCACGGCGGGGCAGCGACTGAGACTATGTGGGCTCAAGCTTCGGTGAGAGTAAACATGAAGAACCCACGGGAAGCCACGCTTGTCGCTAACAATCGGTCAGAAGTGGCCCCGCTCGCAGGGCTTTCGAGTTTCCAAATTTGGTGTTGGGGGTCCTTTAACCGGGCCAGCTCATGCCGTTCGCTGGACCACAAGTCGACAGCTTTTGTCTCTCTGATATGACACACACGCGACGTTCACACCATCGCAAGAGGTGGAGAAGCTACCATAATGGTCGGAGGAGCACCAGGTCATTCTTCGGACTTGTGGTCTGGCTTGAAGCACATAGGTTTGCCATGTTTGGGAAAGGTGACCTTTGGGGCTGATGCTAGCGTTTATTTACACTTGCCAACTACAGCTTGGCAAAGACAAGTTGTCTTTGGGAACTGTGCCTAAACTGTTTTGGAGGAGTTTAGATTGTAGGCCCAATGAAAAAGCGTTCGGCACTTGTCAGAACAATTAGAAGGGCCGGCAACTGGGCAAGTTGGTATGAATTCATGCTACTGATACGGTGCCACAATGTAAGATGAATGCACATGTCTCACATTGCGGAAACGGCACTTGTGTTTCGCGTTTCCTTTTTTTTGTGTGTATGTCTTACGTTGTGGCGCCGTTTCAGTAGTACGAAGTCAGAACTATTAAAACTTTCAGAGTTTTCCGAATGCTGGAAAATTTCCGCCAGCATTCTTGTGCAGGTTTTGTTCTTGATTGTTAATTATAAGCAAGTACCCCATCATATTTCCATCATTAATTACTAGTAAACGTCAGCAAAGTAATTTAACTCTGTATGTTATTTTTTTTCTCTACAGCATTCAGATGCATTTTTAGAGAAGAAGTACTTAATATTAACTTTAAGAAACGAATAACCACTTCAAAGAGAAAACTTCCTAATATATGAAGACAGCAAAGCAGTTGGTGTCTCATAGAGCACAAACTTTTTTCCTGTTCTCTCCTTAGCATTGCCTAAAGTGACCTCAAGATTTAAGTATTTTGACAATACTTGAAGCTACCACTTTTGAGTTGCAAAAGGTTTGCAACTCGGAGAGTTTGTAACCGTCCTGTGTGGTGGACCTTTTGCAGCCCAACCCGAACCTACTACTTGGAGGACCCCGAAGGCTACGCCCTGGCTTGGTGCAAGGCGATCGAGGAAGTGCGCAAAGCCACCTACAACCAAGCCGACGATGCATCTTAGTGATGGCTTTAGCCGGCTATCTCTCTGGCTGTCCGTTGGCTCGTGCCTGCTTTCCTCGTCTAGAGTGGCAATTGCGCAGGGACGTCACCTTTCCAACCCCCGACGTCTTGCAAGCTCTCCGCTCCTTCTTCAACGAGTGTTTGTGCCGAGGTGCGAACTGGAGTGTACAGTGCCTACTGACAACTGCGATCGTGGACCCGCGAACCGTTTCTCTAGGACTCTTAAATCAAGTGTTTCGAAACGTTTTCTTCTTTGTCCGTAGGAGCGAGGATCGGTACCGCTCCATTTGTAATACTTATGCCTGCTTTTGCTTTGCGGAAACATTTAAAAGTTGAGCTGAACAACGATGTGCTTTGTCCGAACTTAGCTCCCCGTTGAATGTCCACTGTGCTGGCAGTCCCGTTGAGGCTCTTAACGGGACCAAGTGGACTTCTTAGAAAACTCTAAGCCTTCGAAACACTTCCTCATGGACGGGAGACTTAAATGGATTTTCGTTCGATGCACCAACTCGTGGAAATGTTTAGGCGGTTATCTGAACAGTAGCAGCGGCCTTGTTATACGTCACTTCTTGTAGACCTTGTTCCCGTGGAAACTGTTCAGAAGCACAGAAGTTGTTTTAGAGGCTCATAAGTAATTCTCTGCAGGCGGCTACGAGAGGCTTGAGTGTAAGCTTAAGTTCTCCCTTCGCTCGCCACCACCACTGCTACCTTAATGGCGATGTTCTTGCCATTGTTACCTCATTTAACAAAACGTACGAGCTAAAATTGTGCTCTTGTGAACACTTTCATGGCGTCGTAGCAGACAACTTTCACTGACTTTGTTCAACTGCTTTTATTGTAAGAACAACGTTCCAGATTAGTATGGTGTACATTTTTGATAACTAGCCGAGGACACCAACTGTTAGCTAATAAGTTATTCTCCAAACGTCTCGCGAGTTTCTGCTACGGTAGCAGCTCTGCAACGCGCTTTGTCGTTTGGTTTCCTGAGCATGTTTGGCTCTGATAGCGTCCAACTATTTTTTTGCCCATGCACATGCATTTAGAGTCGATTCAGCAGTTTGCAAAAACTATCCCTGCATCTGCGTCTTCAGAACATTGAATTTGAGCCGGCATTTAGGGCACGGCAGAACATTGCTCGCATAATGACTAACGATGCTTGTGACAAATTTGATAAGCTTACAGTCTTTTAAGTTGTGTAACTGTTTGCCTGTCCATGATGGAAGCTTGCTGGCGAAATGACATGCGGTGCCTGCGTGACATGTCATTGAGAAGTGAAACATGCCCACTACTCATGCAAGTTGCATCTTGCAACATAATGGTACAGGTAGATTGAGTAATGGTGGGCCAAGCTGGGCATGTTAGAGGAGCGAAGGCCCCAAGTCTTGGATGTCAAAAGAAATGTGGTGTTATAGAAATCTTTGTTTTCGGTATTGTCGTAACTGCTAGCACCAGTGTGACCTGGGGCTGGCTAAGGTTAATGTTCTTAGCGTGAGTGCACACATATGGCCTTTTTGGCAAAGGTCATTTGCGGCAAATGGCCTTTGTGTCATTGTGGGCTGTGTGAGATCTATATGAGGGCGTAACTTTGTTACGACTACATTTCAAGCACCTTGTATTTTATGTGCGACTTGGAATTCGTGACTTCTATCGCACAGAAAACGACGTCTATGCTGTCTAGCATGACAATGTATGCGTAGCTCCTCCCATGACATGAGAACATCGAGTCATGCCATCTGCAAGGCGATTATTCTTCAACAATATTTTTCCAGGTGACTTTCCTAATTCAAGAAAAAATGTGTTGGCATTAAGTAAATGTAATAAGTTGCCATGTTACAAGTTGCGTGCGGATGTCATTGCATAGTGCGCATATTTACTGCGCTTTAGAGTTCCTTACATGCTGACAGAAAAGCTGGGCTGGCCCTTTGCGCAATTTTTTTAGTACGAAGCAAATGTGCATGTTTGTTCCTGTCTTTTCTTTCTTCAAAACAGCTGTGCACTAGCATTTGCTGATGGACCAGAGTTCTGTGATGCATTGGCGTTTGTTGATGTATTCACTGGTGCCATTTAGTGGTGCAGGGGCATTCACGCATTATCATTTGTGTTGGCATCCGCATGATGTGCTATTAATTTCATTGGGTGGCACTCGCTGAGTAGTCACTGATGCATTGGCATTCGCTTATGTTCTGGCCTTCAACAATGCCATTTGGTAGTGCATCGGCATATAGTGTTCTAGAATGCAATGACATGCTGGCATCCGATGATGCGCAATGATACACTGATGCATTAGTTTTTCTTGATGAGTTTCCAAGTGTAAACTGTGTGCTGACCCTTTCGACAAACTTCGAAGTTGCCTTTCTAGGCATAATAACCTTCACATCGAAGCATTTCTTATGTCTTTAGCGAGACAAAAATATTTAGTGCACAATGTTGGCACTATCTATGCAGCAAAGTCTTACAAAGAAAGTGGAAACGGCGATTTCGATGCTGGCCGCATCGGCGCAATTTTTGTTCGGTAAACGCTTTACCCTTGCAGAGCTTGGAAGTATTTAGGACTTTTCAAGTATTCCTGTGGGTGCATTTAAGAACACCATCAAATTCTGAACTATCAAGAAGACATTTAGAATAAATCCAGGCTTCGCAAATTCACCAAAGAGGTGTAGGTGTTTATGGCGTTGCACTAACTTGCAGAGCCCGCACTGTTCGGGCTTCAGTTTGTCCTGCAAAATTGCGGTAAACAGCATTAAGAATTAAATATAGTCACCATCATGATTGAATGATGCGCAACGAGTTCTATGTCTCGGGGACGAGGCCTTCCAAGATGTTTGATTCTTCAATGTTTCAATTTCTTCAAGAACGACGTTTCATACTGCAATCTCTCGTACTGCAAGATGGTAGGCCTGCTACTGAAAACTACTTCATTAAAATATTTTTGAGAGATCATTCTCGTCTCTTTTTTTGATGGTAGGCCTGCTACTGAAAACTACTTCATTAAAATATTTTTGAGAGATCATTCTCGCCTCTTTTTTTGATGGCATATATTCAACCACTTCACTTTAGCTAGCAGGTAATCTGCAGTAACAGTTGCTAGTTGCCATGTCTCGAGCGATGTGGCATTGCAGTAGGAGTGAGTTCGTGAAATTCCCTTGGAATCCTTTCTTAAAGGACGTCTGGAACAGAACAGGACTGCATTAAAAAAGCATTGTTTCTAATAGTTGAGATACAGAGCAATATATTTGTGTCCGGTTGTGTCATCAAGATTAGCCCGATTATGCATCTTCTTTTGTGACGTGCGTTATTGTCTCCGATTGCCACTTGTCGTCCTTTTATCTTTCGAAGCACTACTGTAGAGTTCTCAGGTCGAAGAGCGCCTTGGATCACAAGTGTTCACCTGTGACAGACATTCGAAATTGTTGAGGTCATAGCAAGAGTTTCGTTGCAGTAAACGTTGAAGTTCTCTTCTTTATGCTGTCACTTCTGCGACTAATGCGAACGCTTCTTTTCACCAAGAGACAAGACGGTGAAGGGCGACTTCTCGTCACCAGTAGTGGCTTACACCACATTTTTTTTTCCAAACCTGCAAACACGAGCAAAGTCGTTCAGTGGCCGTCGTCGTGAATCGTCGCCTCTGTTTGCTCGTATTCCATGCATTCGCACGTCGTGCCCGATATGCAAAATACCCGTAGGGTCAGTGGCCGCTCGGCCGGTTCGCCATGACCTACAGTTGTGAGCAGTGAGACAGGGAACGCAGAGATTGCCTTTGAAAGGTCCTAGAAGCTAAACACAGTTGGCAAGCGCAAAAAACGTGTTCATAACAGTTTGCTCAAATGGAAAGCTTTCTTGTTATTCAGTACGCCTCGATCATATTGGTAAACTTGTAATGATTGTTGATTAAACACAAATTTAATGTTCCTCTTTGTTTCGCTCGTGACTGTACCTTCATAACGAGTGCCCACTGTCAACGAGACAAGCTAATTATTCTCTTTGTTCATTGCGCATCGTTTTGTCACGTCTCGTCGCACTTTTTGCGGTTTTCGGGGTGCTTCGACGACGACGCCTCCACGTCCACTCTAGCCTTCGCGGAAGGCCTTGTAAATAGTTCACGAGCCAACGTTCTTTTCAACTTGCCGGGGGCGCGGCCGCGTTCACACTAGTTAGACGAGTTACAAATTTCAGACGGCTAAATTAAAGAAAAGAAAGGAGAGACAAAACGGAGGAAGAGAGTGTTTTATACTTTTTCCAGAAACGCATTCACTGTGTCTGTCTTCTGTGTTCATTTTTTTTTCTATCTCTCTCTTTTCGATACGAGTGCTGTTTCAAAGTGTTGCAACGGTGTGACGTTGGACTTGATAGACGGACTGGTGGACTGAAGGACGACGGATGCCTTTGTCGTTGTACAAAAGTGCTGCGAGTGCCCGGAAGGCGTGTTGTTTGTGAAGAGTGTGGAAACCGCCGAACAGTTTTTTTTTTTGTAATAAAACTTAAAGGGAAACTCCTCAGTGTCCTTCTTTTTTTTGCCTCTGTACGAGAAACACGTGCGCTCAGTTGGGAAGCACAGGCAAGTTGTTCTGTGTGTGCCAACTATATATGTGATATGTAACGTAACTGTATATGTAATATCTATCAAGATGGGTGTAGGCAAGACTTAAAGGAGACATGTCACAATTATTCAAGAATTTGTGGTTTTCAGCAGAAAATAGAAGTAGAGTGTTTACTGTGCCTATGCATATATAAAAAGGGTGCGTATTCGCGTGCCCTTTCTCTTTGCAGGGAGCACGTGGCGCTGCGTCAAATAGCCTCACGGTGACGCGCTGCAATGGGTCCGTTGTCAGGATTAGGTATTCTGTGATCAGACCCTTAAAACCATGGAGCTCCATACAGTTGTTGTATGAAATTCTATGTTTGGAGCATATCGAAATCCGTGACGACATGCGTGGAGATGCCGGCGCGAAGTTTGAAAACGAAACATTCACCTTTTTTTTTTTTTTTTTACCCCTCCAGTCC